TTTCTATTTTTTTTTTTTTTTTTTGGTGAAGTGTTGGTAGAACTTTTTTGGACGCTTCCACGAATATACTTTTTTGTACTACGAAATTCGCGAAGAAATGCAGAAGAAGATCTTTTATTCTTGGCCGCAGCTGAGTTTTCTTAACAATTATTTCACATACATCATCGTTGATCACACATTAAGATTATAATTTTTATAGACATTTCGTATCGATCACGTACAAATCATTTTTTAATATGATACCTTGCTTTTTTACTGACCCCTGTCTTATATCTTCATATTTTGTACCAAATTTTTAATATCTTTCGAAATATTTTATTAAGATGAAACGATGACTGACTGAACAATAATTACTTAGAATTGATCCTTTTGCTATGAAAAATTCACTTGAACTATACTTTACTATAATAAATAAATAAACGGTAGTTCTTAACAACAATCTCTTCAATACATTTCAAGTTTCATTCTACATATTACGTTTCTATGCAATTTTCTAAAATACCTAAATAGAAATCAGTATATTCTCATATACCTGGACTTTAATTCCCCTGGCACAAATTTATACCATGTTAATGATCGATAATTCTGTTAAACGTCAATTATGCACACCAACGATCGAACAAACAATTCCATCAAAGATGTTGTCACTCGCAAACAAAGTCAAACACATTGGAGCCTCAGTAGCAAAGGGATTAATCCTCCCATCGAAATCAAACATCAACCTACATTACACCAAAGACGGTCCAGCATCCGATATAACATCCAGCGAAAATGTAATTTTCGTGAAAAGATCGTCCTAAAAAATGAAAAAAAAAAAAGAAACACTAAAAGCACCCATACCTCATTTTCACCTCGATCGAACATATCACCGCTATTCACGACACGTGTACAACGACACACTGACAAACCTATTCCCGAACACAGCCAAGGCGGCCCTGCAATTCGAGTCGCAGCACGAGAGCGCGTTGTCGAAGATCCAGGCGCTGGAGGACACCAGCAGGTATCAACGACGCGAAGAAGAAGAGATCGTGGTAAAGGAGAAACCATCGTTCACTGTCCAACTAAACGGACCTACCAGCTTGGTCGAGGGACAAAGCGCACACTATGAGTGCCGTATCGAGCCCTACCCCGATCCAACTATGAAGGTGGAATGGTTCCACAATGGGAAACCATTATCCACCGGTCACAGGTACAGAACGACTTGTGACTTTGGATTCGCTGCGTTGGACGTGCTCACGGTATATGCTGAAGATTCTGGCACCTATACCTGCCAGGCCACCAATAGACTGGGATCGGCGAAGAGCTCGATTAATCTTGACGTGAAATGTAAGTAGTCGAGGGTGAAACAGAGACGAGGATCTCCCTCGAGGATTTTCCATGCTGTGTAAGTCGAGGATGGCGGGGTAGAAGTATCGTGACTCTTTGGTAAATTAATTTACGGTTACTGCAAGTTAATATCGACATGGTAATATACGATAATGTACATTAATGTTATCGTATAAAAATTATTCGATATCGATTAAGGGTTGTCACTTTAGCGGAGGAGGAGGATTTATACGATTCTCATCCTTCGCGAGGAACATTGAAGAAATCTTTTTTTATTTGCTTCTGCTTCGAGGATGCATGGAACGGGCGTTAAATCGTTGAAAAATAAAAAAGAAAAATAATAATGTTGACACGAACATAGATAATAATAATGTTGAAACTGTATCGAAGGTGTAAAGAACGAGCTAAAATTATATCGTATTATCATATTCTGTATACAGAAAGTTTTAAAGATACTTGTTCTCTGACTAAAAGTATCTTTAACAGCTTTCTCGAACCTTGAAAAATATTCCTGACTTTTAAAGTGATTTATAAAACGAACAACTACTAAGTCACAATGGAAAAAACGATACTTCTACGAACGTCCACGTTGAAATCACGCACGGGGACAGCAGGTGGATGTAACCAAGCACTTTGTATAACCTAGAAACCCTGTTTTTCCAACGCTTCTAGTTCTCCGTCGCTTAAATACGTAGTTCCGCTTTTGTAAATTGTACACACAGTGAATTACCACCCTTTTCTCGATGTTTCATCCTTGTTTTCTACCCTTTGTTTTATATTTATTCTTTACTCGTTTACACCTCTTGTACGTTTCTATGTCCACGAAATACGAGAAAAGAACGATCTCTACGATTATTCTCGACCCTCCTGTCCTCCAAGCGAAATTACTATAACGAAAAGGAATGGATAATTGCATAAATGCCACGTTGCAGCTCGCTCCTCGATTATTCGCGAAACTCAACACGAAAGTGCCCTGAAGAAAATACAGTACCTAGAAGACGATTCGCGTTATAAACGCGTAGACGAAGAGGACTTGATCATCGCCGAGAAACCGAAATTCGGTCGTCCATTGAAGAACATCGAACATCTGCCTGAAGGCAAAAGCGCCCATCTCGAGGCGACTCTAACGCCTGTCAACGATCCCACTATGGTGGTTGAATGGTACAGAGATGGCAGACCGATTCCTCAAGGACATAAATTCAAGACTACCTACGACTTTGGTTACGTGGCTCTCGATATTCTTTACGCCTATCCGGAAGACTCTGGAACTTACATGTGCAAGGCGAGGAACGCTGTTGGCGAGGCTGTTACCACTTGCGTCATCAGCGTCGACTGTAAGTGTTTAAAGAAAGTTGAAACAAGCCTTTTATGGATTAAACAATTTAGGATATCGAGGGATAGTATTTTCTAAATTAACAAATTTAAGATATCGGGCGCCAATACCTTGTGGATTAAGAAGTTTAGGATATTTGGAAATAGAATTTTATAGAAATTTTATTAAATTTTAAGAAATTTAAGAAATCGCAACAACGTTTTGCTGGAGATGTGGAGAATTTTGGAAACTAATGGGTGGCGTTTGTAATTGAAAAATTTATATATCGCGATGTGGTGGATTTAGAAAGCTAGCAAACAGTATTTGAAATTTCGAAGATTGAGAAATATTTTAGACTTTAAACAACTTATGTGACGGTAGCCTTAGGATTTCTTTAGATTTTAGATTAATTTTCCATCGAGATAATAATATTGTCTAGAGGATTTCTCTATAGCTTTTTGTTACTATAAATGCAAATCTTAGGAATTACTAGACATTTGACTGTCTCGAATACGGAACAGATGTTATAACCTTTCGACTTATATCAAAATTTACAAGTTGTTCGTTATTTGCGTAAGAATTCGCTTGAAAAGAACGACAGATAAACAACTGTCCATTCTTTCAAACAGCGAAACAAGGCCTGTATTTGGACACGTTAGACGCTCAGCGTTTGCAGAAGATTCGCGAGCTAGAGACTGTAGAAGTGAAGCAAGAGATTGAAAAAGAGGTTGTACACCAGAAGCCTGTTTTCCTAACGCCATTGAACAACCTGGATCTAAAGGAGGGCGAACACGCTCACTTGGAATGCCGCGTCGAACCCATCAACGACCCAAATCTAAAGATAGAATGGTAACGAAATCGATCAATTAGAATTTATTGAATTTCATTAACCTACAATGCAACTCTAACTAAATTTAAACTGCTGAATTTTATGCATTTCTGGTGGAATTGTAAAGGATTGGTTAATAGGTAACGAGAACTTGCTGTTGCAACCTGTCAAATATATGTGAAATAAATTAAATAAATAATAAATAAATATAGACAATGTCCTAAGTCGCTCGTACAAACGTATTCGCAAAAACAGTGTATAATCGCTCGCAGATAACTCATAGATATTAATCGATACCTCGTATAACTCGTATTATAATTCGTATAGTAACTCGTATAGTAATTGATTCGCTTCAAATTCGTCTTTGTTCGACGGTTGCACGTAGCGGTGACATTGTTTTGCCTGGAGTTTATTTATTATTATTATTATTATGTATCCTAACGATCTTGATACTCAACTGAGGCAAAACAACAATATGATTTGAACTGTCCTCTACACTACACATTTCTGAAGCATTTAAACAAGCAAAAATGTACAAAATCCACATGATATAAAAAATATTCTCCAAGCGAAGTGCTTGTTTAAATAACATTCAATGAAAGAAATAAATCATTACGTAGATTGCATTTCATTTGATAGTATCAACCCCTTGACCTACGATTTACGTTCGAGAATTTTGGGCTGAAAACGTAAACAAGCTATTATGTATTGTATTACATATGTTTGGCCCGATCATCGTACTACGGACTATGCCCGTAATATTTACATTTGCCCGTAGTTGTAGGTTAAGGGGTTAATAAAAATATAGAATTGCATAAAAATCCGTAGTCTACCGATGTTAAATGTTTAAGTCTAATTATTACGATGTTGGCGTTTAATTTGAACGAATTGAACGTTATAATGCAGGTTCGTAAATGGAGTTGCTGTAAGAACAGGACATCGCTTCCGCAAAACACACGACTTTGGTTATGTGGCTCTTGATATTCTTTATACATATGCCGAAGATTCTGGTACCTACATGTGCAAGGCTACCAATTTAGCTGGCGAGGCTGTCAACACTTGCACCATCAAAGTTGGCTGTAAGTGGTTCGATTTAAAATTCAAGCTTTCGTAACGAGTACAATAAGGAGGGAGAAATTAAAAATGATAGATTTCAAATATAACGCGATTTAATTGAATATTTCTTACTTTTTTTATTTAATTTCTTTGTTTTTATTTAACATCAGTTTCTAACTAGAAATTACTCGAATTCTTAGCAAAAGACAAACGTTACCACCTTCCCCGTTTTCCCCCATGGAAACCTCTAAAACAAATCGACAAGTTGGAACACTATCAGAGAAAAAGAGTTTCGTCTCCGCCTTCGGATTTTCCAAGAGGAAATCTATCGACTGTAAAACCTAGATTTAGTTCGTTTTCTTTCACGAACTCTAGACGAGGCAAACAATTTATGGATTCTAGTAAAATGCACAAAAACTGTTTATGTGAAAGGAATCGTTATAAGAGTACTATTCGTAATGATAAAAATCAAGGTTATTTAGAATCAAGAAGAAAATCGGAGATGGATTTTAGAGACGATAGATATCGTTGGAGGAAAGATGAATTTTGTAATATTTGTACGAGATCGAAAGTTCGTAATTGTAGTCGACGCGTTACTTTTGAAGGAATAGAAAATAAATCTTGAGCCGATAATAGAAAAGAGAATAATCGATGGATAAACCGGAATAGTAATTTATATTTTCGTACATATTTATTGGTATCTTGGAGAAAAATATTTTTAACATGAAATTTGTTCCATAGCTCGTCGCAGTATTCTCCTAGACACTCAACATCCAGATGGCCTCGAAAAGATTCGTGAACTCGAGGCTCAAGGACGTCCAGCCCGCTTAGAAGTCGAAGAACCACCAGTGACACCACCAAGATTCATCACTGAACTCAGGGTAAAGAATTCATAGCAATTTATATAATTTGAAATTCTAGATATTTTCTTAATTATAGGAATTTATATTTTCTTAATATTCTCTATAGCAAATTGCAAATTTTATTATTTGTTATTAAAAACAGAAAATGTAATATTATAATATGTATACGTAATATAAAATTTTCAATGTTTTTCAGTAATTAATGTAGATTTGCAGAATCTCTAAATTTTGCAATATCATTATCTGTTATAAAATTAGAAACGTTTAATATTTTGTATATTATAAAATCGTTAATTTTTGGGATATTTTCCATCAAATATTTGAAACATTTTTCATAGAATCCAAAACATTTGTATTATTATTATAAAAACACGAATACTATTATAAAAGCACAACCTTTTAACGTTATGTATATCATAAAATTTCAAAGGTTTTTTCATATACTCGAAATGTTTATTTATTAAATTGTAAAATTTCATTTAGGGTACCACTGAAGTATACGAAGGACAAACAGCCCATTTCGAGTGCCAAGTTGAGCCTCTCCACGACGCCAACTTGAGGATCGAATTCTTCCACAATGGCAAGCCGCTTCCATCTGCCTCCAGGTTCCACGTGACCTTTGACTTTGGATATGTGGCTCTTGATATCGGCCATGCTGTTCCCGAAGACGCAGGAGAATATTCCGTTCGAGCTATCAATGCTCTTGGCCAATGCGTATCCTCGATCGAGCTGAGGGTTATTCCAAGGGACAACATTATTCTGGACTCGCAACGTCCTGAAGGAATGGACAAGATTCGTGAATTGGAAGCTCAACAACCTTGGAAGAGACCAGACGTACCAGAACCACAAACTAGGCAAAGACCAGTCTTTACCCAACCGTTGCAAAATATCGACGCTATTCCCGAAGGGCACACTGCTCACTTCGAGTGCAGATTGATTCCTGTAGGAGATCCAACGTTGAAGGTTGAATGGTTCAGAAATGAAATCCCACTCGAGACAAGTAAGTACAATCGTATGCATTTGTTTACTTATATTTAATAACTCGAAAATTTAGAAATTTGGAGATTCGAAAGTTTGAGAATCCGAAAATTTAGAAATTTGAAAATTTCAATGCGCGAAAGTTTAGGAAATTGAAGCTGAAGCATACGGAGATTGGAGTATTGGAAAATTTAGAAATCTAGGAATTTAGGTATTAGGAAATTTGGCAATTTGAAAATTTAATGGATTAGATAGAAAATCCCAGAATTAGAAAGTTTAGAAAAGTAGTAATTTGAGAGTTTAAGAGGTCAAGATTTAAGAATTTGAAGGATCCAAATTTCAGAAACTGAACTTTCAGAAGTTCGAAGGTTTCGGAGTTGAAAAATTTGGGAATTCGAGTAATAAAGCGTGTTATCTCTGAATTATCCAGGTTCAAGAATCACCAAAGTCCATGATTTCGGCTATGTCTCGTTGGACATCTCCCACGTGAGAGAAGAGGACGAAGGCGTGTACATGTGCCGTGCGTCCAACCCACTCGGTGAAGCAGTTACCACTGCTTCGATGAAGATCAAGAGTTAGTATCAATACTTGATCTCTGCCAATATATGTTTTCTTCAAAGCTGACACTTACGTTAATTATCGTCTGCTATTTCTCATATTTAGGTAAAGCAAGCATTCAATTAGACACCCAACACCCTGAAGCGCAACGTAAGATCGCCCAACTTGAAGCTGATAAAGGACCAAGTCGTCCTGAAGAACCGGAGAAGGTATTCGATAAACCTATCTTCACACAATTGTTGACTGGACCCACGGAACTTTGGGAAGGCCAGATGGCTAGATACGAATGCAGAGTCGTTCCAGTTGGCGATGCCAGTTTGAGATTCGAGTGGTACATCAATGGAGTCGAACTAAAAATGGGTAGGTCTCTTATGCAAACTGATAAAATATAATCAAATATTTTAACGAACTTCATTATAACTACAATAGATATTATCAGTCATATTATTATTATTAATTCTTCCATTTTCGAAAATTTAGAAATTTAAATAGTTTTGAAATTAAGAAATTCGATAGTCAGAAAATTTAAAGCTCCATCCAAAATCTAAACCTGGAAACTTTTGTATTCAGTTAGTTAATTTCAAAATCTTTCACTTTAATTTCTCTACAGTATTCTTAATTTGTCTTTTCCTACATTCCGTGTTTTGTAATAAAGATCTATCTCAAATCTAATTTAAACCATCGACCTATAACCATAACGTAATTCTCACTTCACACAATGTTTAACGTTTTCAACAGGATCTCGGTTCCACGTGAGCCACGATTTCGGCTACGTGACCCTGGACATCCTGAAAGTAATCTCGGAGGATTCCGGTGTATACACTTGCAAAGCCATCAACAAATCCGGCGAGGCAGTTTCCTCGATTTCGCTGAAAGTGAAAGCGCGCTCAGCTATCGACGCCGAGAGTCTTCAGCCAGATGCTTGGCAGAAGATTCAATTGAAAGAAGCGGAGATGAACAAAGTACCGGAAATGTTCGTCGACACGACGCCTCAACAGGCTCCAGTCTTCACCAAACATCTCGAAAGCCACGACAGACTCGTGGAGGGTCAACATGTATACTTGGAAGCTCAAGTAGAGCCAAGAGCAGATCCAAATCTTCGCGTTGAATGGTTCAAAAACGGGGTGGCTCTTCAAACTGGAACCAGACTTCGTAGTACCTTTGATTTTGGCCTTGTCACACTATCTATCAATGGTTTAAGACCCGATGATTCCGCCATTTACACTTGTAAAGCCACGAACCTACTTGGAGAGGCTGTGTCTACTTGCAGTTTGAAGATCGTCGATCGTCACTGGTTACTTGGTGACACTCTTCATCCCGATGCTCTTCCAAAGATCGACGCCTTAGAGCAACCTCATGTCACCTCAGCAGAACAACCAGAACCTATTTACGAGGAACCAGTGTTCATCACTCATCTGAACAACGTTGAATGCGTAGAAGGTGACAATGTGCACTTTGAATGTAACGTTGAGCCATCAAAAGATCCAACGATGAAGATCGAATGGTTCATCAATGGTAAACCTCTTCCAACTGGAGCAAGATTCAAGTCGACTTATGACTTTGGTTATGTAGCTTTGGATATTACTCATGCTTACGAGGAAGATTCTGGGGTGGTCATTGTTAAGGCTACCAATTCGAAGGGATCGGCTCAGACGTCAGGAACTCTCAAATGCACCAGCAAACAGAACATCTATCTGCAGACACAGCATCCTCAAGGAGAGGCTGGCTTGGAGAAAGTCAAAGAAGCTGAAGATGCTTATTTGTCGAAATATAGAAGGCCAGACGCTGGACCAGAACAAGAATATCCTAAACCGATCTGGACAGTGCCTTTGCAGCCGGAATTCAAATTGGGCGAGTCCGAACCTCTTCATTTGGAGGGTCAGGTAGAGCCCAAGGACGATCCAAACTTGAAGATCGAGTGGTACTTCAATGGAAAAGCTCTGGAACATGGATCCAGGTTTAAGATGACCAGCGACTTTGGGTTCGTCACTTTAGACTTGACAGATGTCTATGATCGTGATTCTGGAATTTACACTTGCAAGGCATACAACAAAGCTGGAGAAGCTTTCACTTCAACAACGATCTACTGTACGACCAAGGAGAACATCATCGAAAGATCGCAGCATCCCAAAGGTAAGGAGGGTTTGGAAGCAATCCAGGACCTCGAAGAATCGCTGAAACGACAGGAAGGAGCTCCGCCAGAGAGTGAAGAAGGTCATCCACCTGTGTTCACATCTCAATTCGAGAACCTGACTAACCTATCCGAAGGAGAAATCGCTCACTTCGAAGCTTCGCTCACGCCAACTAGTGACCAAACTATGGTAGTCGAGTGGTTCTATAATGGCAAGGTCTTGGACGCCAGTCATCGCATAAGAACAGTCTATGCCTTTGGAATGGTGGTTCTCGAGGTTCTTGGAACCAAGATAGAGGACTCTGGCACCTACTCTTGCAGGGCTACCAACAAATGGGGTCGCGCCGAGATCAGCGTGGAATTAGAATGCGTGGATAAATCTAAAGGACAGAAACCCAAATTTACAACTCATATTCAATCGCTGGAAGGTCTAAAGGATGGCCAATCTGCTCACTTCGAGTGTACTTTAATTCCAGTTGGAGATCCTCATATGAAAGTAGAATGGTTCCACAATGGCCAACCTTTGAGACACTCGTCCAGATTCAAGATGGTATCCGATTTTGGATTTGTTGTGATGGATATCGCTGGCGTGATGGCCCACGATACTGGAGAGTACGTATGCAAGGCTAGCAACAAATACGGCGAAGATTACACTAAAGCAACTCTGAAATGCTTTGGAAAGAGCGGAGTATATCTTGATTCGTTACAACCAGATTCTCTCGCTAGAATCAGAGAACTGGAGAGTTATGGCGGCGAACAACCTGCCACGCCAACGACTCCAGTTGCAGAGCCACCCAAGTTCATCACGCAAATTTCTGACATCACGAAATTGATTGAAGGACAATCTGCTCACTTTGAAGCTAGACTGACGCCTGTAAATGATCCAGATCTGAAGGTCGAGTGGTATTACAATGGAAAGAAATTACCTCATGGACACAGATACAGAACCTTCCACGATTTTGGCATTGTCATCTTGGATATATTATACTGTTACGAAGAGAATTCTGGAGTTTACGAGTGCAGAGCTTTCAATAAATATGGAGAAGACACGACTAAGGCGACCTTGAAATGTTATTCAAAATCGAGTCTCATTTTGGAAAGTCAGCTTCCTAAAGGAATGGAAGGTGGATTGGAGAAGATCCAGACTTTGGAGGACTCGATGATTCGCACTAAAGACGAAAAGATCGTGGAGGAACGAGGAAAGGCACCTGTGTTCACTGTACCTTTGAGCAACATCGATGGCCTTCGCGAGGGCGAGAGCGCGCACTTTGAAGCTAGACTTACACCTACCGACGATCCAAAATTAAAGGTAATTGTTGCATTGTTATTTTACTGTAGCTTACAGAGACTTAGAAGAGATACAAAGGTTGTAGTACATCGAGATAACAAATTTTAATGTATCGATATTACCATTGAAATTTATAGCAAATTAATTAATCAATGATAATAGATAAAACTACTAGAAGAATAAAATTCTCTTCTTCGCAGGTCGAATGGTTCTGGAACGGAAAACCTTTGCGGACCGGTACTCGTTTCCGCACCTTCTGCGATTTCGGCTTCGTGATTCTCGAAATTTCGCCAATCTATCCAGAAGACTCCGGCGAATACAGCTGCCGAGCAACAAACGACTACGGCGAAGCTGTAACCACATGCACGATGAAGTGCACTGGAAAACGAAGCATCATTCTCGAATCTCAACTGCCAAAGGGAATGGAAGGCACGATAGATAAAATCGCTGAACTGGAAGGTCTTGGAAACGAGCCTGGTATTGCAACTCCGGACGACGATACCGGAAAACCACCGGAATTCATCACGACACCATCCGATTTGACTCTAACCGAGAATTCCTTGGCGCACTTCGAGTGCAGATTAACACCGATCAACGACTCCAGCATGAGAGTGGAATGGTTCCACAATGGAAAGCCTCTGTTGGCTGGAACCAGGATCAAAACCATCCACGACTTTGGATTTGTGATTTTGGAAGTAGCTAATTGCTACCAACGAGACTCTGGTTTATATACGTGCAAAGCAACGAATCGTCACGGTGAAGCTACTGTGTCGTGCAAACTTCAAGTTCGTGGACGTCAAGGAATTATCTTGGAGCCTCAGTTGCCAAGCAACTTTAAGACTGGAACGGAGAGTATTCAGAAATTGGAAGAGGCTTTGTACAAGAAGGACGAGATACTGACCGAGGAAGAAACACCTAATCCTCCTAAATTTACTGTGGAATTGAAGGATATCGAAGTAGAGGAAGGAGCATCCAGTCACTTTGATTGCAGAGTCGAACCTGTGGGCGATTCTACCATGCGTATCGATTGGTTCCATAACGGAAGATCGTTCGCTACCGGATCTCGTGTACACCAGATTAACGACTTTGGATTCATTTCGTTGGACATGTCGTACACCTATGCTAGAGATAGTGGAGAATACGTTTGCAGAGCTACGAACAAGTGGGGATCTGCTACTACCAAAGCTACGATAACGTGCAAATGTACGTAGTTGAATTAGAATAGTATCGTAAGATTTATTAATTTTTATTTGTTGCATACGAAGGGATCACTCTATAAAAATTATACATTTGAAATATCATTTCATCAATTTACGATCGTGATTCGATTTTATATAATCAGAAAATTATCGATACTTTTACTCCAGTTATTTTCTCTTATATTGGGTACAAGGTATTTTAAATTTTGTTATGTCGAATATATATTTTTTAAATATTTTAAATATCATTATTGGAATACTAATAATTGGAAAATTTACGTTGGTGACAATTTATAGTCGTTAGAACTCGTTACAGTTTTTTGGTATTGATGATAATTATTAATTTTTAATCTTCTGAATTCCTTTCGTAATGAGACTGGTCCAGTTATATTATGGATCAAACGTTTTCTTATTTTCCTTTTAAATAGTCGTTTTGCCGTTTTTTTTTTTTTTTAATACCATAAGAATATTAATTTAAGTACCGAACAAATAATCGTCTTAATTCTTACTAAAAATAATTCTAAATATATTTTCTTATTAGTTCAGTAATAATAACAATATGGATAATAAATTTTCAATTATTCCAGCTAAGAAAACCATAGATTTCGACTCGCAGTTGCCCTCGGGCATGAGCGGCGAGAAGCTGAAAGAATTAGAACGTGGTCCAGTAAGCGAGCCACCTGCCGAAGAGCCACCACGTCAACCACCAAGGTTTATTACGCAGATTCAATCAGCAACCGTTGACGAATCTGAACCAGTTAGGTTCGAATGTCGCGTGGAACCAAAAGACGATCCAAATTTACGCATAGAGTGGTACAGAAATGGAAAATTGATCCCAGCTGGACACAGATACAGAACAATGTACGATATGGGATTCGTGTCTATGGATATTTTGTACGTTTACCCTGAGGACTCGGGAGAATACGTGTGCAAAGCTATTAACGATCTTGGCGAGGACACTACCAGGGCATCGGTATCATGCAAAAGTAAGATCTCAAATTCTATTTATTTCCTTATACAACATTAGTAATGGTTGAGAATCTTTATTCTTTTTTTACTTCAAAAAATTGTAATACAAAATATGTTTATTTTTCTCTTATTATTCTTATAATGTAACACTTATAGACATTAGCGTTCGTATAATACGATAAAATAAAATAGAAATTTAATTATCGTATAACGTAAGATGTAACTTCTCTCATCCTATGATTTCTTTATCATAACTTCTCGCAACCTTTTGCTGTTTCTCTATATTTCCAAGTAGAAATTGTATGGTTCAGATTTACTTTATGCAACTCTCTCCTTCTATAATTCATCTATTATAACTTTTCATAATATTATGCATAATATTATATCTCTGTGAGTTAAACATTCCATGGAATTAACTTTTAACCCAAATTACAATACGAATATTCAATATCGCTATTTCCCACTTTCTCCACAGAGTTGCCCAACATCATCCTACAGAACCAAGTGCCAAAGGGTATGAAGAAGTCGGAAGCGTTGATGCAAATGGAAGCCACCATCAAGAAATACACTTCGGAAGTTCACCTTACAGAGGACGATCTTTACGACGCGGATAAGAAACAACCACCACGTTTCGTCACTCAGATCCAAGATCAAACCGAGCTGGTTGAAATGAACAGCACGAAGTTCGAGTGCCAATTGGCACCTGTCGGTGATCCGAACATGAAGGTCGAATGGTTCTTCAATGGCAAACCTTTACCACACAAGAACAGATTCACTCCAATTTACGACTTTGGTTACGTGGCGATGAACTTTGGATGGGTATATCCTGAAGACAGCGGAGAATATCTATGCAGAGCCACGAATCTTTACGGAATGGACGAAACACGAGCGGTGATCCGAACAGCTGGCAAGCCTGGAATTATTTACGAGTCGCAACTACCAAAGGGCATGAAGAGTATCGAGAAGATCAGAGAAATGGAAGCTGCATGGCAAATGTAAGAATTTTTGTGATAATTCAACTTTTCCTTAACACGTTGACGCCGGCGTGTACCACCGGTGGATCACGCGTGTCTGTCCCGTGAGGCGGCGTGCATTCGGTGCCGGCGTCAACGTGCTAAATAGGAAAAAATATATCGAATCTTTTAGACGATGCTGAAAAATTTTGGGAAACAGTTATATCGAAAGTTAATGTTTTTTTCTCATTAATTAATTACGATATATAATTTAACCATAATGTACATCGAACTATCTCTTTACGCGCGAACGTGTTTATTCAGAGTACCTGAGGAAGAGGGCGAAGAAGAGAAGGTGCGTGCACCTCCAACGTTCGTGAGCAAACCTGAACCAGTAACCGTGGAAGAGGGTGATTGGTCCAGATTCTGTTGTCGTGTCACTGGTCACCCGAGACCGCGAGTCATGTGGATCATCAATGGACATACTGTGGTCAATGTAAATATCATTACTTTTCTGAACTTAAAAGGAAACTAAATTCTAACATTCCGAGTAATATTGATTAAAAATTATTTTGAATTCTAAGTAAACATTAAAATTTAACTCTTCTGAACTAAACGCTAAAAGAAGTTTACTCGTGGCAGAGATTTTTCTATGAAATATATTTATGCTTTTCTGTGGCCCTTTTCATATTACAATTTTATATTATAATCCTGTATTATAATTCTGTATAATTATAATTCTATATGGTAATTTTTTACCATGATTCTACATTATAATTCGTCACATCTTTTCACAGGGATCACGGTATAAACTAACGTACGACGGTATGTACCATCTCGACATCCCCAAGACGAGGCAATACGATCATGGGAAGGTCGAAGTGATCGCGAGAAGTTCCGTAGGCGAGTCACGAACCGAAACCACCCTAACAGTAAAACCAAGGAGCGACGATTATCGAGGTGTACTGAAAAATTCACCAAGACGTAAGTTTACTACTCCCAAACAGAGAAACTCATACATAGACATGTCGTTGCATTCTTTGCGTTTCCTCAAACGCCAATTATACTTTAATTATACCTCACTGAAACATATTCTATTCTTTTATCTTTACATACTTCAAATTTGTACACATGAATCTTACCGAACAATAAGAAATTCCCCGACAAAATGAAATCTATCCGTTACATCGCAAAGAATGCACGCACATACAAAAGAAACAAAATTATAATCCGTCGATAAATCGAACATTGGCACAACGATATATATCACACGAAAAAAAGAATGAAAAGTTTTCTGTTCGAGTAAAATCGAGAGAAAAACAAAGTTCTATTTAAATAACGCAACCGAAAGATAAAACGACAACCGCAACACAGTACATGAGATATCGATACGACACATACATTCCATTCGAGTACAGAAAAAGAAGAAAACACTCGAAACCATTCGAACACCAAAAACCTCTGTCCCAACCTTTTTCCTTCTTCCATCAAAAAAAAAAAAAAAAAAAAAAAAAAAAAAAAAAAAAAAAAAAAAAAAAAAAAAAAAAAAAAAAAAAAAAAAAAAAAAAAAAAAAAAAAAAAAAAAAAAAAAAAAAAAAAAAAAAAAAAAA